GTTGATTCTCAACCACTGAGCCTTTTCAGTACAGCACAGGCAAGTGGTGGCGCGTGGGTTCCTCCGGGTTTGTCTGAATCAGACATACTCCCTGCTCCTAGCCAGTGCTGCATTTCATACAGGATATGTAGTTCCCCTCCCTCCTCCGGGTGCCGGCTTAGAACCTCTTGAAATCAGGCTAGTCTCTACTCTCCGCAGCCTGGCCCGGTGACTTGGCATAGTCAAGATGAAATTTCAGTGATGAAATTTGACATTTTTAAGCGTAAAAATATCTATGATGTTAACACCTTCAGCAAATTTAACATATGAAGTATAGAAGCTTGCTGTCAGTACAACAAAATAGCATACATATCAAATCACATATATATCAACATATGTGTAACTCCATCTATTGAAAAAAATCTGCATTATTAACTGGCATACCTCGTATACTTAGTCAAATAAATTTATTTAACATATATTGTATTCAGTGCTTTGACATACACAAGAAATGGAATAGTCAGCCCTTAGAGAGGAAAACTATGTTGTTCTCTCCTTTAAACTTGAAGCAACTTACTGACTCTGATTGCATAACCCTTTGTTGTATTTTAATGACTAACTCATATTTTTCAAGGAAGATTTTCTGCACCTGACACCCACTTTTTGCTTACTCTTTCCTTTTAAAAAGTTCAGTAGTGATTTTTAAGAGACTAGTGGTCATGTCTGTACGTTGAGCATTGTGCCCAGCCTCTGATACATATAGGTACTGAAACAGCTGTTGAATTAAAGAGACATGGTCTTTTTATTGTGCAAGATAAGCACTTTGCATACATTACTGGGTCCTTGTTTTACTTTATTTAATTGGCTTTATAGATGCTGAATTTGGAGATGTCTTCATTTGCCCATGTTGTGAGGGGGGTCTGGCCCGTTTTGGCTTGGCCCTTTGGCTTAGCCCTTGCTGCCCTGTCATATCTGCACAGGGTCCTCTGGGTGTGACCGTGGTGTGGGATGGAGACACAGCTCTCCGTTTCCTGATTTCCTGCTCACCCTGTGCTAGCCATTTGTATGATCTTTCTCTGTCTTAAAACCTCACTCTGGGCTCCCAGTGGCTTACAGCGTGCGGGACAGAGAGGGTCACATTGCAACTCTTGTCTCCTCCCCGGTGGGACTCACAGCCGTGTGCTGCTTGGGCAGACAGAGTTGGGCCTCCTGGCACCTGTTTCACAGTCTGATTGTATCTGAACCCTGTGGCCACGCATTCTCTACAGTGACTGAAGTTCTTACGTGATGAGTGAGTACACACGGCATGCTGTCACCTTTATGTATTTTTCAAACTGTAAATTTTATTTTATAAAATGCCCTTTATTGTTCTTGAGCCCCTTTAAAGAGTTTCTCAGGTTAGGTATCTGTGGGTACTTACAGACCTTCGTACAGATCTAAGATGGTTTTCCTTTTAACTTCTTTCATGGTTGAAGTAGAATATAAACACAATCACAAAATTTACATCAGTTCAGCTCTAAAATAAATTTAAACACATAATTGGTAGCCAGTAGCTTCCAACAGAGCAAGTTTCTGGAAGCAATATTTGTAGTGTCCCAGTATGTGCTCTATTAAAACTTTTTTAGCGTTGATCTATAATGACAAGCAATTTAGTCGCACTTATTACCCAAAAAGCCTGGTAAAAATTTTGGTTCTTTTGAGTATACTGAGAGACCTATCAAAAATTTACCCATTGACAAAAACCTTTTTCATTTATTTCTCTTTATGACAAGTGTAAACTATTAAGGTTAAGTGGGAGGGGCAGCCGGAAGTAATTACGAAGGCCAGTGGCATTTTTGTGGTTTAATAAAGGCAGAAGCTAATTATTCCGTTCTTATTTAAGGGAAATGGTGCCAAAGGAGGCTCCTGCCGCGCAGCTGCAATCCCTCAGTTACCCTAATTTACCAGAGACACGACTGTCACAGACAAACCTCACACTCGATACACAGCCACAAAAGTAAGGAGGCTTTTGTGTGGCGTGCATGCAGAAGACTCCTTTGTACACGCCAACCGCCAGATGACGGACAATGATGAAAATTTGATTCTTTGAAGTCATAATAGTCATTGAAATGTGTGAAATTCTGGTATTGAAAAGAGAGAGGCCCACCAGACTCTGAATCCTGGGTGGTTGCAAGAGGCTTGCTGGGAGGTTTGTCTGCATTTTGACACCAACTTCCCATTGCTTGTTCCCTGCTTCCTTTGTTTAAAAAAAAAAAAAAAAGTGGAATTCACACAAGATAAATGGGAGCAGTTGATAACCGAATCATATAGTTTTTATGTGGAAAACTAATATTTTATAATGAAAGTTGGTATTTGAAAGAATAAAGTTCATTCACATGTGCTGGCATATACTTTCTCAGTGGACTTGAGCATTTCTCTCTCACGGAAGCAGACGGTGGCACGGAAGGGCAGGCTGTGCTCACAGCTAGGAATTGTGGAAGCGGCGCTGGGAGAGGGGACTTTGGAAGTGGGAGCTGCATCTTTGCAGTAGCAAATTCTGTTGGGATGCTCTTTCACCTCTAATCATGATTCGTCGCTATGTTAAAAATGGCACATTTACATGAGATTGTGTTTCTGAAACTTTAGTCTATTTAGATAGTAGCATTCTTTAATAATAGGAATATAGGTTTCATATTTGACCCAACCACTTGAAATTGTTACGTTTTAAAATTCAGTAAGTGTGTATATATTAACTATAAAGTAACTTGATTTATTAGGATTTACAGATAATTGTTAGCTGGTGAGTTTTGAGTTTCTTAAAAAGCCAACTTGAAGGCTTCTTATCCCTTATCTGATGGAAGGTTTTGTCATCCTAGAAAATGTGTGGGTTATTATTTATGGTTTTCTGTTTTACCAATAAAATGAGAAATCTGTGAAAGGCAGTATTGACATCTTCAGAGCATTTCTCTCTTCTAAGGCTTAAAAAATGACAGATATCTGGTGCAACACAGAAGTAGAACTCTAGACAAGAGAAAAGAAGATTAATCAGCAGAGTTTAAAGCACTTGCAGATTGTGCTTTAATTTAATTAATTGTGTGTGTTTGTTTATTGCAAAGGTCGAGTCATGGGTGGGCCATGGGGAACTTGAGGTAAAGCACAGCGTTGTCGTTGTCGACACAAGTAGCGAGCCCAGCGCAGGGCCTCCGGGCCTTTCAAGAGCCGCATTGTCTTAACAGGGCCTCGGAGTGGGAGCTTTCCCATTGACATGTCGCTCCAGGGACAGGTTGTCTGTCGCTGCTGCGCTGTGCGGGTGAAGTGATAACAATGGAGTGTCGCAGTGCATTTCACGAGTGTGAGAAATCAGTTTGTCTAGACGGGGATGTGCCTGCGGGACCGGGGGTCAGGGCGCCGGGGCCTCTGTGTCAGCTATGCACGGCCTACTGCAGCTTGTGTGTCCGCACTGCGCTTCGGCGTTCAGAAACCCAGCTGTCTCTGCTGTAAATTGGGGGAAGATATCAGTAATTAATTGCCATAATTTTTGGAAGCTGGTAGTTAGGAGTTCAAAATATAAAGAGCTTAAATATATTTTATTGAGTTTTCACAGAGAGGAAGAGAGATAGAGAGCCAGAAACATCAATGAGAGAGAATCATCCATCAGCTGCCTCTTGCACACCCCCTACTGGGGATGTGCCCACAACCAAGGTACATGCCCTTGACCGGAATCGAACTTGGGACCTTTCAGTCCGCAGGCCAACACTCTATCCATTGAGCCAAACCAGTTTCGGCGGTAGTTTCTTTTTTTTAAAGGGGTTTTTTTCCATCCTAAAAAATTTGCACTTTAGTAGGTAGTACAAATCAAGAAATAACCGTTTCCATTTTTAAAAGCTTTGTTGGTTTTTAAATCACTATGTAAGTCCCATATAAACTTGCTGAAGCTTATGAAGGAAAAGCCTGTATCTGTCACCTAACCTCCCGAGGTTTCCAGTGCGCGGGGACAGTGAGTCTGAGTTTCCTGACCTGGGGTCTTCATCGAGAACAGCCGGAGTGTCGTTCCAGTCCTTAGGAATTGAGGTCACACTGCGGAGGCTGCTGTGCGTTTGGAAAGAAGCCTCAACCCACAGCTTTGTAACATTGTTTCCCTGCACCCAGCTTACCTTACACTGTGACTTTGGAAACAGCACATTTTAATATAAAGATACAAAATGTTGAATAATAAGTGAATATGACAGATTACAAAACTATACTGCATTCAAAAGCAGAAATAAATATTAAGGACTTGCCAGGAGCTGAGTCCTTTTCAAGCTTTTGAGTTGAGGAATATGTTTTAGGAAGCCACTAAATGTAGTTGTACTGGAAATTCCTTCTCTTTGAAGTGAACTTGACAGTTAAAATGATCAGTCAGCTAAACCCTGATTGGTGTGGCTCACACAGCTGGTTGAGCGTCAACCCATGCCCCAGAGGTTGCTGGTTTGATGCCAGGTTAGGGCACATGCCTGGGGTTCAGGATCCCTGGTGACAGGTATGTACAAGGCAGGGTTTGCTGTGTCTCTCTCACATTGATGTTTCTCCCTCTCCCTTCCTCTCTAAAAACCAATAAAAATGTATTTTAAAAACACAATTAAAACATATTCATATCTTTAAAAGTATGTGCCAATTGCACTCACATTATTTTAATTTTATCCTGTATAAAAATACTTTTCTTAAATGTAGGCAAGTATTATAAGTACATATTTGTATAAATATTTTTGTGGATCATTTTTATAGTTCCTCCAAGCACAAATTTTGACAACGTAACCATACTTAATTATTGGTGCAGGTAGAAAGGTACCGTGTTAAGCAGAGGATTGGTTGCCAGCTAAAATAACTTAAAGAATTGTGTTTTTAATCTGTGGGTTGAAAGACTAGTTGAATCAGAGATACACTTGTGTTTTCCCAATACATATGGCAGCACTGAGGACTTATACTCATCGTTGGTCCACGGCATTGATAGAGCAGTTCCACGAAAGCTCTCGCTCAGCAGCGTGTGCTCGTGTGTTCTGTAGGACATCACCACCTTAACCGGCGTCCCCGAGGAGCACATCAAGACCCGGAAAGTCCGGATCTTCGTCGCCGCGCGCAACAACATGCAGTCCGGGGTGAACAACACCAAGAAGTGGAGGCTGGAGTTCGACACCAGGGAGCGCTGGGAGAACCCTCTGATGGGCTGGGCGTCCACGTGAGTGCTAGGTTTCCCATTCCAGGCGGATTTCCTCTTAAACACCCTGATGTTCACACCCCTCGTGCACAGCGCTTCGTGCAGCGCTGTGTAGGTGTCACTGTGTTCTGCCATGTAGACATATCTATATAGAGAGAAGACTAAGTGACCATTATGGCTGTCGGCTGGTTGCTATGATGCCCACTGACTACCAGGAGGTAGACGCTCAAGGCAGGAGCTGCCCCTGGTGATCAGTGCACTCCCAGGGGGAGCACTGCTCAGCCGGAAGCCGGGCTCATGGTTCGCAAGCGCAGCTGCTGCAACGGGAGCCTCTCCTGACTTAACTCCATGGCAGCAGGCAGTGGCGGCAGGAGGACCAGAGTGGTGTGGCGGCTGGCCCGGCTTGGACTCCTTCCTGGTGGCCTGCAGGGATCAGGCCTAAACGGGCAGTCAGGCATCCCCCGAGGGGCCCTGGATTACAAGAGGCACAGGCCGGGCTGAGGAACCCCTCCCTGCCCCCAGCCCGGTGCAGGAATCCATGCACTGGGCCTCTAGTTTATCTACAATGCTAGAGGCCCGGTGCATGAAATTTGTGCACAGTGGCAGAGGGTCCCCTCAGCCCATCCTGCACCCTCTCCGATCCGGGACCCCTCTCACAATCCTGGACTGCTGGCTCCTAATCACTCACCTGCCTGCCTGCCTGGTAGCCCCTAACTGCCCTCCCCCCACCCGGCCTGATCGCCTCTCACTACCTCTGCGTGCCGACCTGATCACGCCTAACTGCCCCTATCACCTCCCCCTTCCCCCCCTCCTCCCCCCGCCACCAGCCTGGTCACCCTAACTGCCCCCTGCTGCTGGCCTGGTCACTCCAGCTGCCCCCTCTGCTGGCCTGGTGATTCCACGCAGCCTGCTGTTCGGTCGTTGGGTTATTCCTCACTAACCCCCTGCCAGCCTGGGTGTAGGCAGCCATCTTGTGAGGGTGTGGTGGCCAATTGCATATTACCTCTAGCATATAGGATACCTGTTTAATATTCATATATTAAAATAAACCATAGACGGTTGTTTTCAGAGTACTCTTTATTGGATAGAAATGGCTGTTGATGCCAAAACAGGTTTGGCTCAGTGGATAGAGCCTCAGTCTGCGGACTAAAAGGTCCCAGGTACGATTCAGGTCAAGAGCATGTACCTTAGTTGCGGGCACATCCCTGGTAGGGAGATGTGCAGGAGGCAGCTGGTCGGTGTTTCTCTCACATCCATGTTTCTAGCTCTCTATTCCTCTCCCTTCCTCTCTGTAAAAAAATCAATATATTTTTTTAAATGGCTGATGTTGTGAGCACTGTTAGCACACTTCCCAAGCCATTTACATTAGTTTAAGATGCCCTGGGTATATAGTGTTAATAATTAGTAACACTTCACTTTTAAATTAAAACTTCTTCATAAAATATATTTCTCTTTGTAAGGGGGGAAGACTAGATAAGATTGGGTACTGGCTATTTTGAAGGAAACTTCTAAGTTTCTGAGATTGGTGACTAATAAATGTGCGGTGCGCTGGGAAAAAGTGGCCATAAGTTCTGTGGCCCCAGTGAAATCAGTGGCCTAAATCTCTACTGTGGAACGTGGCCCAAATGTTCGCCAGCGGCACCGCCTCGCGTTGAATAAAAGCTGCTGCTACTAGGAAGAGCCAGATAAGCGAGAGCCTGCGCCCCCGGCCTCCTGGCTCCTAGAATGCAGAGTGTCCGGCGCTGCCGGGGAGAGTGATCAGCGTCAGCCGTCTCGCTTACAGGGTGTGACATTCAGCTTTTCTTCCTGCGGTGTGACTGGGGAATGCTTGTTAAAAAGAAATTTAATAGAATTACATTTTGCTTGGCAAAATGAAGTATAGGCACAATATTAGGTATTTTGTATCTTTAGATTTTATATTTCATGGAGTAATATATGGAGTGTTGTTGTAAATCACATGTTTGTAGAGACTAAAGAAATTTATAAAGGACAACTGTGTCCATACCCAATGGTTGAAATGCTATGATTATCTTTTGTTAAGTCGCATGAGATTTTAATGTGTTCATCTCTATGCAAAATTCATCCATTGCACTGTTTACTGATAACATTGGTTAGCTTTTGGCGGGGCTATTCTGCATAATGCTAAGATGAAGATTCTTGTGTGTCTTCTGGTGAGCCTTTGACTCACTGATAATCCAGTTTGGGGTCTCCATGTCATTTTGGAAAATGAGAAAAGGGGTGACAGAATCTTAGATTTCAAAAGTCAAAATGAGTGATTTACAGGTGATTGAGGAAGAGTGAAACGAACACGGCAGGCAGATCCTGCCAGGTAACCCAGAAGCTGGGACGCGTGGGATCAGCTCTCAGGCCTGCGTGCCTTCCCGCCCGCCTCCTCGGTGGCGTAGTCGGATGCAGACACCCAAGCCTTCCTCCGGAGCAGGCCTCTCCGCCGGCCTCTCGTGCAGGAAGGGAGGGGCAGAGCTCCGTCTGCGCCTGTTTTATAGGAGCAGCTAACGTCAGCACCCCGAAAGGCTCGGATTCTGGGGTGGCAGAACGTTTTGGTCCCCTTCAGAATATACAGTCTCCTTTAGACTGTACTTATTTGATATTACAGCAATTGTTTATATTCTAAACATTTTACTTTAAGTATTAATTGTTTTTAGCCAAAATCTAATGTTAAATCCTGGAAAAAAAATTGTTTCTTTCAGGGCTGATCCTTTGTCCAACATGGTTCTAACCTTCAGCACCAAAGAAGATGCCATGGCCTTCGCAGAGAAAAATGGTATGTTTGGTCTGCTTTTGTTTGACTTCAACAACAAAAGGAAGGTATAATAGGAGTTTATGTTCTTAACATTGATCAGAACCAGGCAGGGATATAGAATTTGAATAGAAATAAAATTTTCAATGTTATCTAATCCACTGGTTTTAAGAATGTTACAAGAGGACACCCCCCCTTCCAAAAAAAAAAAAAAAAAATCTAACGCGGAATGCCCACAAAACATGGGCAAGCCAAACGGCTCTGTCTGCAGTAGAGGCAGGGAACAGGCTGCCATCCAACGCCTGCCCTGCGTGCGAGTCCCTCTGCAAAACCCTGACGTCTGACGTTACGTTCTAACTGAGCTTTTCCGGTTCGACACCTCTTTGTTATTTCCTTTCTTAATTTGAGCCAGAATCCGTGTCTCCTCTTCCACCTAATAGCTCTTCAGTTATTTCAAAGCTGTTATCATTGTCATATTTCCTCTTGATCACTCACATAGATGGGTTAGTGAATGCCGGCGGATGAGACCAGGGCCATGCTGCAGAACTGCTCTCTCTCACTGATACAAATTCTTCCTTTGTTGGAGCTCAGAGAGGCAGAAAAGTTGAACAACCAGATGTTCTGGGGAGTTTTCTCACCTAACAGAGAATGAATCTCTAAAACCATAATCTATTGAAAGGAATCATCAAACTGATGATCAGACTGTAAATCAATTCCCAAGAGTAGCAGAGAGCACAGTTGAAGTTAGGAAAACAGTCAGCTGAGGAGCTGGAGAGGCCGGGCCTGAGCCTACAGGAGGCCTGCACCGTGAGGGCTGCCTGGCTCTGCCCGAGACCATGAGGCCTCTCACCCGCCCACCCTGGTGAAAGGAATGTTTCCGAGATAAAGCCCGGCTCTAGCACAGACAGAAATGAGCATGTGCTGAAGAATTTATTTCACTCATGAACTAGGGGGCCAGACAGATGCTCTCGGCAGTTCAAAGGAGCAGTCCGCACTCGGATTTCTGTAGCCTTAAAGAATGAAAACTCAGCTGCTTTCTCAGACAGCACAGAATCCGCACGTCTATCAGACAGTTAATTCCCGTTACTCAGTGTCTGTATTCTGTACGTCACCATCAACACTCCATTAGCGAACGCCGGAACGGAACGCTGCTCCCGCAAAAATCAGGCTTCCATGCCCCGGAGCCTCGGGTCACAATATTCTGTCAAACAATCGATGCATTGTTTGCATGTGTGTCTGTTTAAGAGAGTCTCGTTGATTCATAGACATTGAGCTCGTGGCCAGCAGCCTGTCACTCAGGCCCGGGAAGCCTCTCGGCCCTCCGGCCGTTTGACAGCCACGGCCTGGCTGGCAGCGCGGAGTGAGGCGCTGTGGCTGGACACTGTCTGCAGCGTGAGGGTGGGACCGGCAGAGCACGGCCTTGCTTGGCCTCAGCGGGGCACGTGTGTGGGTGACATACTTATCACTGCGGTCTGCATGCCTGGGGACCATGGAGCATGGTCAGCGTTGGGCTTGCACAGAAGTTCTGGTGAGAAGGTGAAGTCACAAATACCCGCTCTGCAGATAAGGAGGATTCCTCATACCTACAGCCGAGAGAGCCGCACAGCAACCCCAAGAAGTGAAGAGGGCCGAGGCCACTAGTGTGCCATGGACAGTGCATGGTGTTCTGAGGAGGCACCGTCTTTCCCCAGGACCTTCTTCCCGGGCACAGTCTGCGGCAGCTCATGTACGTCATTTCACATCGTTTTCCTGGGAAAAAATGGTATTGCCAGTAAATACAGAACACACATTTCTCCTCCATCGTATTTTCTAAAGAGAAGATCTACAATATGTTCAAATTATTCTGGACCTCACCCTCTGCCACCCCAAAGAAATTTTAAAGTGAAATTCCTGAAAAAAGTGGTGTTCTCTGCTTTCCCTCTTAAATGACGGCTTAAGTTGATGCTGTTTCACCCGAGCATATGTGGGCACCCAGCCTGGCGGGGAGACTTGGACCCTCCCTGGTGCCCACATAGCTCGCTTGGTTCCCAGAGTCTCTGCTCTCCTGCCCCCGCCTGTTAGCAGCGGTTCCGGGTCTGCCAGCTGTGCCAGACGAGGCAGTGCTTCCTGCTTTGTACCCAAATGGGCGGCAGGAAAAACCATTGAACTGCTCGCTTCTGAACTGATGTCAGGTTTGGGATTCTGATATTGGAGGAGAAAGGCCTTCCGCAGGCCTGGGCCAGGGTTGCTAGAGGTGACATGGTTCACACGTAGTAGGAGCACTGATGGATGTTGCTGTCTGTTTTTTGTTCCTGAACCAAGTACAGCATGGGCTCTGTAAATGAAGATGATTGGAATTAGTTTCCCTCTTCTGTCTCCTGTCTCAGACCTGGGACTCACAAGCTCACTGTGGTCTGGTTTACGCAGAGGTGGCTGTTGGCATTTGGGAAGAATACACCGTACGCAGCTGTCGTAGGGAGTAGAATATGCCCGCCTCGGCTGGGGGCCGGCACAGTGCTTGGCATGTCCGGGAGCAGTCTGGGCTCAGGCCGCCTTGCGCTCCCGAGGGCCTGTGCCAGGAGCGCTCTGATGGGAGGGCTTACACTCGGGCATCCGGAGCGCTGCCAGGGCTGAGGGTGCGCCTGTGTCTGCTGCTGTCCCGGGTGCGGTGGCAGCGGCGCCCGTAGCTCCGCCCGCGGTGCGGCCGGGATGTGGCATGACCCGCTGCCAGCTGGGCCGAGGCCGGTGTGCGGGCCAGGAGCAGCACCCAGGCGGGAGCCGCGCTGAGGTCTGGAGGAGCCGCTTCCGAGCCTAGATGCTCCCTCTCCCACAGCCCCCTCAGAAAGCCAATCCAGTTATTTCTGTTAAACACCGTGTTTTAGGGGAGAAGAGAAATTCTCACAGAAATGTAAACATTTCACAAAGAAAATTCCATTCTTAGATTTCTGCCTGTAATTCAGGCACGTTGTATTATGTTTTTTCTTCTTTTAAAAAAAATTTTTTTATTGATTTAAGGAAAAGGAAGAGAGAGGGAGAGACATCAATGATGAGAGAATCATTGACTGGTTGCCTCTTGCACGCCACCTACTGGGGATCAAGCCTGCAACTGGGTATGTGCCTTTGATTGGATTCAAACCCAAGGCCTTTCAATCCGCTGGCCGGTGCTCTATCCGCTGAGTCAAGCCAGCCAGGATGTTCTGTCTTTTTAAGAGCAAATTTCAAATGGGAAGCAGGAGAGGTCAGTAGAGTCTGTGTAGCATCCCTTTTCGTACAAGCATGCCATCCTGTGCGGTGGCTCTTACGGTTGTTTGTCTTGTTGGCTGAGCCCGCTGCTCGCTCAGAAGCCGGGATGTCCCCCAGTGGTGAGGGTGCAGCCTGGGAAGGGCTGTGCTGTGCAGTGTGCGGGACCAGCACACTTGTCCAGCCAGGCACGGGCGATACTCCCTCCGCCAGGTCCTGTCAGAGCTCGGGAGCAACGGGAGACGGTGACTTGAGTTTGTCCCAATGGGAGTTGTCCTTGGTCACCCTCATGCCCTGGGCAGCGTTGGGAACACAGTGTTTTCCCAGGAAAACGGAGGGGACGCCCTCCCGCCCATCCTCCACGGTGGCTGTGGAGTGGCCTGCGGAGAGGGCAGGTCTCCATGTGTCTCCGCTTATCCGGGCACTCACCCCCACACCCAGGCCTGGAGTGGCATTTGTGTGTGCTGTTGTCACCAGCAGCAGCAGCTGTAGGCTGGCCACGGCTCCCGTCGCCCTAGGGGAACACCGCGCCAGTGGCTCTGTGAACCAGCCGCTTCTCCCAGCAGGGACCCCGGCCTCTGGCTCAGGAGCAGAGCAGGCGCAGAGCAGGGTCCGCCTTCTCCCTGGGGCTGGGCAGGCTGGTAGCCGTCTACCCCATACAGGGACTGTCAAAGGGACTGTTGGGTGAGTTTTGCATATAATACCTGCCCCCAAATATGTCCGCACCCTCCCATCCTCCAGTTCCTTTGGCAGCGCCTTAAGGGGCAGGAATATGTGTGTTGGGAGGCAGACTGGGCCAGAGGGCACAGGTCCTCTCACACAGCATTGGAAGAAAAGAATCTCGAGCAGGGAGAAATTGAGTTCTGGGTTACACCTTTAATTTAGACATGGTAAGTCATCCTCAGACAATATTTTGAATCCTGTTGTCACAGGAACAAATTGCTAAGCAGGTATTTATATTTCAGATGTGTTGACATGTACTCCTAATGATAAATGACCTTGAATTTATGAGCATTAGCTTCTGCTCACTGTGTTCTTCAGGCATGCTGCTTAATTCTGTTCCGGTGAGTCTGTTTTTTGTTTTCTAGGATGGAGCTATGACGTTGAAGAGAGGAAGGTTCCGAAACCCAAGTCCAAGTCTTATGGCGCAAACTTTTCTTGGAACAAAAGAACAAGAGTGTCCACAAAGTAGATCGGCCTGGCTGTCCCTGCGTGGCCGAGAACCAAGGCAGCCGTACAGTTTCATAGTCCATGCACGGTGCACCTCTCACTCTGCTAATAAAGTTTCCCTGTAAGCCACAGATGCAGTTTGTGGTGTTCATTTTTAATCTCAAGTGGAACATGTTATAATTTTTTAATATAAGAGGTTGAGATGATTATCAGTACTTAAAGTCTGCTAAAAAGGAGTGCTTGAAATTAGCTGCAACATTGAGGTTTTGCACTTGCTTTTTATAGCCATTATCAAGTTAATGGTATTTATGAACTACCAGCCATTATTGTTAAAGTGCTGTCTTAGAAAACCTTTATTTTATCGTGGGTAGAGAAATTCATGAATACATTACAATCTCATAAACCTAAATCCAAATGTTACTATTGGAGTTCTCTTTAACTAGAACTTTATGTTCTCTAAGCTGCTTTGAACCTGAATCAATCTACAAGAGACACATAAAGAAAAAGAAAGGAATCCAAACATGAAACTAAGTCATCAATATGAGAGAGAATAAGAACAGAGAAAAACTATAAAAACAATTAGAAAATAGTTTATAAAATGGAAATAACTATATATCAATAATTACTTTAAATGGACTAAATGCTTCAATAGAAAGACAGGATGGTTAAATGAATAAAAGACCCATACACATGCTGCCTACAAGAAAGTCGCTTGAGATTGAAAGGCACACAGACTGAAAGTGAAGGTATGGAGAAGATATTCATGCAACTGTAAACTAAAACAAAGCTGTGGTAGCAATAGTTCTATCAGACAAAATAGACTTTAAGGCAGTGACTATCACAAGAGACCAAGAATGGCATTTCATAGGGGTCAATCGAACATGAAGATACAACTCTTGTAACATCTATGCACCCAGCATAGGAGCACCTAAACTTATAAAGCAAATATTGATGGACATGAAGAGATCAACAGTAGTATAGTCATAGTGAGGGACTTCAACTCCTCATTGACATCAATGAATACGTCACCCAGGCAGAAAATCAACAAAGGAACAGTAGCCTAAAGTGACATATTAAACCAAATAGACTTATTTTTCTCAAATGCACATGGAACTCAAAGATAAGAGACAACGGACATCACGGAAACAAAAAGGATTATCAGGAAATACTATGAAAAAATAAATGCAAACAAGTTGGACAACCTGGAAGAAATGGATCAATTCCTAGAAACATACAATCATCCAAGGCTGACTCCAGAAGAAACAGTATGAACAGACCAATAATTACTAATGAAATTGAAACAGGATTCAGACAATTCCAACAAATAAAAGTCCTGAACCAGATAGATGGCTTCCCAGGTGAATTTTGCCAACATTCAAAGAATAATTCCTACTAACCTTCTTTAAAAATGTCAGAACGGTGAAGAGAAGAGAAGGCTCCAACACTCATTATATGAGGCCAGCATTACCCTCATACCTAAACCAGACAAAGACACTACAAGAAAGAAAATTATGGGACAGTATCCTTGATGAACATGGATACACAAATCTTCAGCAACATATTAGCAAACCAGATCCAGCAATACATTAAAAAGATCATACACCATGATCAAGTGGGATTTTTTTTCCTGGTATGGAGGGTTGGTATACTATCTGCAAGTCAATTAATGTGCTACACATAAGTAATGAAGAATAAAAATATCAATGGATACAGAAAATGCATTTGACAAAGTCCATCGATTTGTTATTAACTCTCATCAAAGTAGAAATACGGGGAACATACCTCAACATAATAAAGATAGTATATGTCAGACCCACAGCTAACATACTCAACAGTTAAAAGCCGAAAGTATTTTTTTTTATAGTCAGGAACAAAACTAGATGTTCTCTTTCATCACGCTTAGTCAACATACTCTGGAAGTCTTAGGAATAGCAGTCAGAGAAGAAAAACAGTGTTTGAACTGAAATGGAAGTAAAACTGTAATTACTTGCCAATGACATGATACAACATAGAACCCTAAAGGAAAACTATTAGAACTGATAAAAGAATTTAGTAAAGTAGAAGGATGAAAAATTAATACTCAGAAATTGGTTGCATTTTATACTTTAGTAACAAACTATCCAAAAGAGGAATTAAGACAATCCCATTTACATTTGCATCAAAAAGAATAAAATACCTAAGAATAAATTTAACCACTGGGTTAAAAGACATGTACTCAGAAAACTGTAAGATATTGAAGAAGATACAAATAAATGGAAAGATATACCATGCTCATGGATAAGAATTAACATCTTTAAGTGTCCATACTAAAAGCAATCTAAAGATTCAGTGCAATCCCTTTCAAAATGCCAATGGCATTTTTCACAGAAATGTAACAATCCTAAAATGTACATGGAACCACAAATACCCAGATCTTCAAAACCATCTTGGGAAAGAACAATGTTGTAGGTATTTTGATATCAAACTATACTACAAGGCTATAGAGACCAAAACAGTATGGTACTGGCATAAATACATGTAGATGAACAAAACAGAATAGAGAATCCAGAAATAAGCTCTAACAAAAGAGACACGAATATACAATGGCATAAATACAGTCTCTTCAATAAATGGTGTTGGGAAAGTGGACAGATACATGCAAACAAAATATAACTATACCACTTTCATTGTGCATTATAAAAGATAAACTTTTATAATTTATCTTTTATAATTCATCTCGAAATGGATGAAAGATTTAAATGTAAGACTTGAAATCATAAACCCCCTATAAGAAAAACAGGCAGTAAACTCTTCAACATCGCTCCTAATAATATTGTTTTGGATGTGCTTCCTTGGGAAACAAAAGAAAAATAAGTGGGACTAAGTAAAACAAAACAGTTGTTACACAGCAAAGGAAACCAACAAACAAAAAGGAAGCCTTCTGAATGGTGGAAGAGAGTTTTCCAGTGATACATTTGATAGGGGTAAATTTCTGAAATACATAAGGAATTCATACAACATAACACACAAAAATCTGAATAAAAATGGCTGAGGTCCTGAATGGACATTTCTCCACAGAGTACATGCAGATGGACAGTTGACTCAAAGGGATGTTCAACATGGCTAGTCACCAGGGAAATGTAAAAACCACAATGAGAAATCACACCTGTCAGAATGGCTATTATAAATCAGTAAACAGCAAGTGTTGGTGAGGCTGTGGGGAAAGGACACCTCACCCTTGTGCACTGTTGGGATTAAGTGGTACAGCCACTAGGCAAAACAGTATGGGGATTCCTCAAAATTCTGTGACTCAGCAATTCCACTTGGTATTTATCTGAAGAAATCCAAAACAGTAATTTAAAAAGATACATGCACCCTTATGTCCTATGCAGTGTTATTTATAACTAGGGGCCTACTGTACGAATTTATGCACCTTAAAAGGAACTGTGGCCGAAACCGGTTTGGCTCAATGGATAGAGCGTCGGCTTGGGGACTGAAAGGTCCCAGGTTCGATTCCAGTCAAGGGCATGTACCTTGGTTGTGGGCACATCCCCAGTAGGGGGTGTGCAAGAGGCAACTGATGGATGATTCTCTCTCATCGATGTTTCTAACTCTCTATCCCTCTCTCTTCCTCTCAAAATCAATAAAATATATTTTTTTAAAAAGAAGGGGAAAAAAAAGAACTGTGGGCCAGGAGGTTGCGGTAGGCACAGAGGCAGATCTCAGTCCATCCTCCATGCACCAGCCCAGCCCTTCTTCCCACCACAGCCTCTACTACCCCCATCCCCTGGCTGCTAGCAGCCTTGCTACCGCCACCTGATGGAGCAATTGGGGCCTGCACCAGCAGTGGGTGCAAGTGGGGCTGGTGCTGCCGGTGGTGTGAGGCCTGGCTGCTGCCCCGGTCATCCCTCAGGAGCAGGGGGAGTTGGAGAAGCTCTCAGGGGTGATCAGGGCCGGCAGCTGCTGCTCACACCCACTGATGGCACCAATGATCAGGACTGGTGGCAGGCGCGAGTGCCAGACAGGACTGTGGTGGAAGCAAAGAAATTTCAGTAACCACCACAGGCTCATCCTGATGGCAGCAGCCAGTGCCCCACCTTGGTCTGGCATCCCCACTCACCTCCACCACTCCGCTGCAGCCAACACCCACCAGCCATGTTCCTCGTACACCCATTGGTGGCCAGCACACATCATAGAAACCGGTTGTTCAGTGTTCCAATTGTTCCGACATTTGGCCTATTTGCATATTAGGCTTTTATTATTATATATAGGATAGCCAAGATTCAGAAGCAAGCTCAGTGTATGATAGACAAAAGGATAAAGACATGTTACATTTGTAAAATAGAATATTAGGTATTAAAAAGAATGAAATCTTGCCAATTGTGACATGTTAACATGGATGGACTTAAAGGGCATTATACTATGTGAAATAAGTCACAAAAGGCAAATACCATAAAATTTCACTTATATGTCAATGGTAATTGAAATTTTAAAAAATTTAAATTGGTAATTTTTAGTGTATGGAAATTATATGTCAAGAAAATTGATGTTGTAACAATGAGACAACCTCAATGTTATGTCACAGCAATACTTTCTGATGTGCAGGGTTAATGAGCATTTGGTATGGCTTATGATGGATAAAAAGATAAATGTAAAGTTTTTGATACTTGGTTGAGAAGATTATGTTGTTAGAATTCATATACAGAAATAGAGGCCCAGTGCATGAAATTCATGCATTGGGGCGGGGGGGAGGGTTCAGCCTGGACTGCACCCTTTCCAATTCAAAACTCCTCTGGGGGTGTCCAACTGCCAGGTTAGCCCCAACTGGCAGTTGGACATCTCTTAGGTGGCTCCTAAACGCTCACCTGCCTGCCTGCCTGATCACCCCTAACTGCCTCTTCCTGCCAGCCTGATTGCCCCTAATTGCCCTCCCCTTCCAGCCTGATCATCCCCAACTGACCTCCCCTGCTGGCCTGATCGCCCCTAACTGCTTCCGCCTCGGCCCCCTGCCATCATGGCTTTGTCCGGAAGGACATCCGGAAG